ATTTTTTTGTTTGTGTTTTTTTTTCATATATGTCGCTCAAAAGTTAGATCTTGACTCTCAGTGAGATGACCTGTATCAATAAAGGTTCAATAAAGAATAAAAAAAATAACAATGAAACCCAGGAGCCAAATATCTATATCCTTTATTCAGTGCAAAAGAAAACTGCAGTAAATTCGCTAGTTTTGGTCAGAAAAAAATCACAATTGAGCTTTTTAATTAATTAATTTATTTTTGGTGAAATCGCACAGCCCTATTATGATCATTACTTTTTAAGTCGTTATAAACAGTCTAATACTCAACTGTTCCTCAATAAAACTATTCCAATGCAGCTCTGCCTTTACGCTTCTTTCATTATCTCGCTCCACTCATCTTCCCATTTACTCTGACCTGCTTCATGTCTGTGGTGAAGAAAAGCATTTCTACAGCCTGATGCTGTTATTTGCTATGAGGGTGATGTCTTCTGGGTAATATGCTGTGTTTACCACAACACAGAGTAGTTTATATGTTGGTCATAAAGTTCAATTTAAGTCTTAGATCTCCTTCTCATATATCTTTCTATATGTTGAGTAATGGAGACATTAACGAGAAAGCTGCTGAGGTCCCCAATGGCTTCTCTCATTCACTTCAATCATTGCTTCAGTAATCAGCAATGTAGTTATTCAGTAAATGGAATTTTCTATGAAATGTTATGAAATTTAAATATTTGGAAAATCTGTACCAATCCATTTCTTTGCCTTCCGTTGCTTATAGTGAAATCAGTTCATCACTTTTTGTTCTTAGATGTCTCTTCATTAATGATAACCTATGTACTGTAAAATCACCAGCTGCAAACATTTAGTGTCTTTTTATTATTGGTTGTGAAATATGATTGTATTACATTTTTTTTAACAGCGTAAATTTCGCTGCCCTTTAAAGCAAGGTGCCTTCCCTGAGGGGTTGATTGAAATAAGAGCTAGTTTTTAGAAGAAATGTATATCATTTGTCATTTTTTATCATCAAATTTAAATGATAGAAAACGATTAAACAGATTTGTTAGGAAGAAATTGGAAACTGATTTTTAATACTTTAATACCGTACATATTTTTTATACTTTCCAGCCCTAACTAAACTTTCCATGAACAGAAAAACTGCTTTTTTATTCTTTAACATGTACCAGAAATATCAAAAATACATTCAGCCACTTGAAGTATTTCTGATTTAAAAATAAACTCAACCAACTGGGAACTCTAAAATGTTAAGGCAGGATCCTCCAGCATTTATATAATGAACGAGTTGGAACTTGGTAACTTATCTAATATGACTTGCTGATTTTTTGCATTTAGTTACAGTAGTTTGTTTTCAACTTACAGGCGCTGTATCAAATGTTTTTTTTTATAAGATATAATAGAATAGTTTTAGGGATGCACGATATTGGGATTTTGGCCGATATCCGATATGCCGATATTTTAAAACTCACGT